AAAAATGTATTATTTTTTTCCATTTTTTCGTCATAACATCGAAAATTCCAAATGTCGGATATTCGTCGTCCAATTCTCGGCTCCCTAATCTCGACATATTTCATGCATTTTCACTACGAAACTTGTAAACTTTAAGTTTTGACAGCCCATGAACGCACTATTTACATTGAGGTAAACAATACAAAATATTGGAGTTAAAATTATTAGATTGATATATTTTTGCTCCATATTTTATTTTACTTATTTTTCTATAGTAAAGTGGCAAAAATATTTAAAAATATTACGTTATTTCACTGATCTAGAATATTTTTGGTTTGAATTTCACAATGATCCAAATACGACTTTAACTGTCACATCTGTCAAATCCAAAGTGTTTTACTTGAAACTTCGGTGCTTTATGTGTCGGCAATTGGACGATTTATTCCGGAATAATATTACAGTGAAAAATGAAAAATAAATATAATTGTTTTTCTTTATATTTTCAAAATTTCTGTTCAATAATTAAATTAAACTATCTACAATTCGCCGATATAAATTTTTTTCCAAACTAGTTATTTTTTCATATAAAAAAACGCATTTTACCGGCTTGTCTCAAAATGACATAGTTTAACTTTTGACGTGAAAAAGTGATAAAAATGCCGAATTTTTTTTGAACGTAATTTGTGAAAGCAATAATAGATTTTTGATTAAAATTTGGATTATAATAAAGAGATTTGATATTGATCTTTCATAATTTACTTTAAAAAAAAAAAAATTATTATTTTTTTCGTTTTTCATGATTTTTCACCATCTGATGGGAGACTTATATGAAAAACAAGGAAGACCGCTGAAATGGCAAATACAAAATATGTACGTACGTAAGACGTGCCATTTCAGCGGTCTTCCGTGTTTTTCATACGATGAATCGTTCATGAAAAATCGTAAAAAATGACAAAAAAAATAAATAATTTTTTTTCTTCAATTTTCAAATTCTGGTCAATTTTTTGTATCGCCTGGTTCAATCAGAATCAAAAATTCACATTCTTTATCATCCAAATCACGCTTGGCGAATAATACACGCAAGTGTCATTTTGCTGCTATATGGCGACTATATATAAAACTCTCCTTGTAATACCTAAAATTTGCTGAAGTAAATGAGTTGAAACACACGGACTAGAATTTAATTTGGAATTGAACAGAATTCAGTGGAATTGAATGGAATTGATAGATCTGAATCTAGTACTGCTTCGCTCCTTGGTGTATACCAAAGTGGAATCACTTTAGTTTTGTTCTGAAAGTATTCTAACTTCAAATGAGATTAATTTGTGGAGTCTTGTCGTACCTTTGGTACAAAAACTTCATTTTTGGTCAGAAAATTGGAATTTTTGGTCAAAAAATTAATTAATTAAATAATGTTGAAAATGTGGTCAGTGGCTTAACGACAAAAAGAAATCGCTTGCATACGGATGCTGTTGAAGAGTTAATTTTTTTGAATAAAAACAAAGAATTATAAAATTTTGAATTGAATGACTTTTTTTTTTGGATATTTATATTTCTATTGAAAATATCGAGAAGAGAGTATGTCATTTTTGAGCTGAAAATATTTCAAAACGAGAGTATGTCTTTTGTCGATTGTGTTAATAGCAAAAAGGGAGTAAGTCGCATCGCATTTAAAAATTTATAAAAGAGAGTATGTCGTTTGAGGTATTTAGATTGGCTTAAAAGAGAGTAAGTTGTTGGCCATATGAATTTAGCAAAAGGGGAGTATGTAATTTAACTGAATTTGTTCATAATAAAGAAGAGTTAGTATTTGTCAACTCACATTTAAAAAAAAGTATGAAAATAGTTAAATTAATTAATATTTTTGGATGAAATATCAATCGCATGTAATAGGCTCGCAGAAGCAGCTACACAGTTGCGTGAGTCAAAATACACATAAACTAACAAATCACAATAGCAAATGCCGTCTCTGTGTGGCTTATCAAGCGCACAGATCATGTTCATTCGTGTTTGATACGTATGATTGTTTATGTGCGCCTGTGACGACAACAAAGACTCCGTTCGCTTCACTCACCCGTTGCCGTTTATGTGCTGTTGTGAAATATGATTGTGTATTTATATACGAAGAGATTTAATGTTGCTGATTCTGCGCGCCTGTTACATTGGGATCGAAAAATGTTAAATATATTAACTATTTTCGCACATACTCACTTTTATTTCAACCAGAATAATTTAGTAACGTACTCTCCTTTATTTCCAACCAATTTGGCCAAAATTCACATCCACTCCTTTCGTAAAATTAAAATGAACAAAAACTTACTTCCTTTTATGACAGACTAAATTGCTCGAAATACGTGCTCTCCTTTAACCATTTTTACCATGAAAAAACATGCTCTCGTTTATCGTACTACAATTCCGAAAAACATACTCTCCTATCGATATTTTCGATAGATTTTTAATTCTTAACAAAATTCCGAGTCCGACCGATGTCCGACCGTAAAACTCGGTCGACGTTCGGATTCTAATAGACAATTGTCGGGATACGGGCGGACTCGGATCACAAAAATGTGGCCCGTTGAGAACTGTGTTATGTATTTTGGTCAGAAAATAAGATTCACAAGTTTTCACGGTGATTAGGCTACCGCAATTTTTTACTGGAGAGGTTTACTGGTTAGAACACATTCTTATGACATTTTGAAACTGATTAATGATCTTTTAAAGTAGTATATGCATTGATATAAAAAAGTAAAATCTACGATTCATTGTTTGCCCGTTTTTTTCTGGCTTACTTACTACTGTGAGTTTGCAAAGAATACATTTATATGTATGCTTTTAATTATTTCTATTCAAATGAATCATTCAATAAGATTGGTAAAAATTCTAGTTTTTTGTGTGAAAGCGAATTTTAAATTTTGCGAATTGTTATAATTAACAAGTACACTTTCGGTCAAATTTCCCCAGCACAGTACCAATAGCTTTTTCAATAGTATACCATGCACGACTCAATACTGTCAAATATACGCGTTTCGGCGACAAATTGATCAATATCGTTCAGTCAACTAAGCGTTTCTGTTCGACAATCATCTTTGGTAACAGTCGAACAAAGATATGAGGTATAGATAACGTGTGGCAACACGAGGGTAATAAGACACATTTGAACTCAAACATTTTGTTTAATTATTTTGGTTTTTAAAACACTTAACAGATGCTATTTTCATATTCTCGTTTTCTCTCTACGGCGTGCATCTGTTTTAATTCCATTAAATATATAATCCTGTGTGCGCCAAACAGAGATCTTGAAAAGTAGACAATCGTAAAATATGAAAGCGTACATTTTTGGTACATTATGTAAAATGAAATGTGCGAAAATTAAGAAATTATGTAAATAAGAAGAATTTCTGATCAATTTCACTCAAAATTACATTGCCCTTTTGACAGTTTGCCTAAAATTGGTTGTTTCTTAAAATTGGTGCCTTGTGGTTGCAGTATAAGTTTGACCAATGACAACTGTGATCACTATCTCTGTCTATATTTCTTAGAGTAGAATTAAGGCATTTGACATTCATGCAATAAAATCACGGTAAAATCAGAACAAAGAAACGGATATAGCTTTTAAACAATTGGCGAGAATACAATGTTCGAAAAAAAATCTATGAATGCAGCTGTCACTATTTTGTAAACGCCACTTTACAGGTCTGCTTGAAAATCATAAACTTTTTTGAAAAGATACAATTTATAATAATGCGATCAACATTTGATGTGTTTTTTCTATATTTTTCAAAGAAATGTTGGCCATGTAAATGTTTGGCACAAGTTGGACAGAACATGTGCATTTCATCAAAGATGTATTTTAATAAGCCCACGCATAAGTACTAATTTTGTACCACACAAAAGAGCGAAATGTAGTCGTGTGTTTTTAAATACCTGACTTTTTCTTTCATTCAATTCGTTATTCCTAACATGCCAGATTTTATCCGAAATCTGTAGCAGAACATGTTCATATAACTTCTGTTATATACATTTTCTATGAAACTATTTTTTCATGCTTTTACGAAGATTTATAAATAATTTCGTTCCAAAATGCGGAATATTCATAATAATCACGTATGAAATGCAATTTATTTTTTCATTTGAAATCACAGTATTATTGTGACAACATTTCTGTTTAGCATTTTGCAATTGTTTTCAACGATTGGGATAAGTGATGTCGAAGAGCTAGTTTAATATTTATTTAATCACAAGATTGAAGCTGCATTGTTCAACAACATAGATTCGAAATGATATTTCTTCTCCTAAACAATTGCATATTTCTTGATTGTAAGTTGTTCTTTGTCGTCGTCGTGTGTGTCATTTCATTATGAACGTAGTTTACTGAATTTGAGACGCTTGTTATTGTTTTATTAAACAGTCTAAGCATGCACAATAAAACAAGCTGATCAAGCTAATAGGCAATTGAAAACAATGATATAGAAGTTTGTTTATTTTCTCTTTCACAATGAGGATCTTGTTTATAAAATTTGAACATTAATGACTAAGATGTTGGAATTCATTCGACTCTCTTATTTGAATTCATGCAATTTTGCTTCGTAATGACTTTTTTCTTGTTTTTTTTTTCTTGCGATAAATATGTCTGAAGTTTATTTCATAAAGCGATATATTTTATTATGACCAGACGCAACGCATTATCGAAGACATTTGGTCGAAGTCGATGAATTGAGCATATGTAAACTGTTATTGCAAAAATTATGTGAATGTTGATCTGGTTTTTTTAATTACACTTCATGTATAAACAAAATCCATTTAACGTGAGGAAGCTGTAAAAAAGAAAATCCAAATACAAACCCAAATATCAAAAAAACAATATCCAATTTAAAATGCGATAATTCCAAGTAGTTCAAATTATGCAGTAAAAAGTATTTATCTCGTACTTTTGTTTTTTTAATTCATAATAATAATTTTTATTGCAACTATTCAATTTAACATACAGTTTTTCTTATTTTTAAATGATATATAATATTGTGTATATATTGTTAATAATTTTTATTATTAAATATGAATACATCTCAGCTGCATTCACGGTCAAATTTAAATTATTCAATCGCTACTAATTTCTCGAGTAAGTTTTTTTTACTTAATTTATCCTTTCATTCTTCTTATTTTTTTTATATGGCTTATGATAACACACCAACATATATTGTTGGCAGTAATCTTTACTAAAGATTCTTTAGTTGTTTCATCAAATCATTTCAATTTTTCAGTGATGGTTTTTGTCGTTATCATGTGATTTTGTCATTAATCAATTAAATTTAGTTGGTAAAATATTCATATCATTTACAAATTTACTACTTGATGATTGATTTCTTTGCATTTTTTCGTGTGTACGGGTGATATGGATAGCTGGTCAATAAGTTAAATAAACAAATTTGAATCAGTCGCCAACTTAAATTCGGTAAATGTGCATGTCTGCAAGTAAGTGCGTGTTTTTCAACGTTTCTCGTTTTGAATTTTTTAATAAATTAAGAATTAGATCAAGTTTATCACTTGAACATAAATTAAATATTGATCCATTCATCTTTAAATTTTCAGTGCATATATCCATATACTGTCAATAACGTTGATTACTTACAACGGATACACGGTAATTACTTTCTAATCTGTTTGAACTAATACGAATGAAATTCCGAATCCGAATTATAAGAGATATTATTGGGTTTTGAAGAAAAGTTCAAAATAACTGAAAAGAATAGTTTTAAAAGGACTGACTGATAAATCGATGAGAACGGATTTACGGTTGAATTTAAAACTCTGGCAATTTATTGAATGTGACTGGATATATGCGTAAAACTAGTCGCAGGTTTTTTTACCTTTTAATTGACATTTTACACACATATTTTAAATATTGTTTTGTAATTATTACGGCCTGTATCAAAACATCCATTCTTAGATATTAATTTTCTTTCCAGAGAAACTTTTACAAAAAAAAATATATATAAAAAATGGCTTGTTATTCGAAAATGCTTCCACATCTTTTTTTAATTTCCTATAACTCACTTAGATTGTGCAGACAAACTGTGTGTATTAACGAACATCAAATTTCACTTCTAAGCCAACTTTGAACACATGTAAGCAAGCCATCAAAATACAATAGAATGTTGATCTCTTGTGTATCATTGGCACACATTTACACTTTCACGTTCACTTGTTATACAATTTTCTCGATTACACATTCATCGAAGAATATTCTAGATACTGAACTTTATCCATATTATTCAAAGCAAACAGATTCTCTCAACTCCCCGTTTTTCTAAATTAGTTACTAATTAATGCTAATATTTACACGTTTTAAATATATATTCACAATCACTATTACATATCAACTACGATTTTCAAGTCCTTTTCAATTTTTCACCTTTTCGCTAAACACACGTAAAAAAATGAACCACTGAATGTAACATTAGGATTAGTGAAATTGATGTAATTTTTTTGATGCCGTTGATTGATCGAAACTTAAACTATTTGAATTTTTGATATAATTTTGATATAAAATGGTCCGGTTATAAAATGAAATTTGTCGTTGTGATTATTATGCGTGAAAAATAAATCAATAAATTACTCAACTCAAGATGCGAGACACCTTGAAGACAATTTATTCATATAATTTCATTGCTCATCTTAAACATTCGCGCTAGTTTTCTACTCACCATTATTATTTTGATAGGGAGAATTTTAGTTATTTTACTTCTGTGTGGTCATTTCTTCATACCCTGATTTGCACTGTTTTTCATCATATCATTTATGACATGTTTATTCTTTGCTATATTCAACTGCGTTTTTTACGGTTTTCTTTTGCTTATGTACATGTTTCCATAAAACGTCATGTGTAATGTGTGTTTTAACGTCGTTATTATGTTAAATTACGTGTAGAATAATTTTTTTGGCGCTCGAATCGCTTCAACATATTTTTATATGTTTTATTGTTGTTTTTTCTTCTTTTATATTTTATACAAATAAATCACATTTAAATTATTGTCCAAAAGATTTGGGATTACAGTTTTAGTATGTAGGAATATGTGATTCCATAATACAATCATTTTTCAAGTTCTCATCCACCAATTTTTGTGCAAATTAAAACGCATTTAAAAGAAAATATGTATGAGTGTACTTAGGCATTTTTTTTTGTATTTTTTTATATTTCGGTTGCGTTTAAGATAATTGAGGAATCTTTTCGACTTCTTTCACTGAAAGTTGACATTTTTTTGATTAAAGTTAATTCTTTGATGAAATGTTTATATAATATAATCTTTTTTTAAAAATTAGATTGTGCCAGATATTTGTATTTTATTACTCTTTCACACTTTGCACTGGTTGTGAACTCACATAAACTAAGAGATTACAGTCCGGTTTATAATTTTTAAACAATATTTTAAAAGGAGTTTGAGATCTAGGAATGATCCTCAGCTCATCCATTCAATACTTAGGTTTCGTTGAATATTTGAAAACAACGTACATTTTATAGAGGTTTCCACTTCTTTTTGATCTGTCAGTTTCTGAACACGATTTAATAGAAACTATACTAATGAATGACTACGTTTGTTTCAATGGTTGATGGTAACGTTGATACGGGTGTGGAGTTTTCTGGTCTCGATGATGTACTTGAGGCTGATGGGGATACACCAGCCAGGGCAGCTGTATGATTATTATTACTGTTTGAGTTATTGTTATTTGTTGTGAGACTCAGTGGAGCAAATGATTGATTATTATTCTCTATGGATTTTGAAATGACTGATGAGAGTGGATGTACGGATTCTAGAGCTCGCTGATATGACTCTAAAAACGCTCCATATTCATGCCGCACAGGTAAATGCGGTGGATTAAAATTTCGATAAATATCTTTACCCATGTCTGGTTTAAAAAATGGCGCGTAATGCATGCGACTTGGAAGTGGTGATATAATTTTTCCGGTAGAGGATGGATACAATCCCGGCAATGTTGCATTCGGTGGGGTTTGCTTGATATCATTTGGCTGTTTTTCTTCTTTGCTTGCCATATCAGCTAATGACCATATTCGTGGCTTACTATTAAGACTATGATTTGTACTGCCACCAGATGTATGTTTCATATCTACTGGCTGTCGATAATATAAACCAGCTGGATGATAAAGTGGATAATTTCCAGCACCTGATGATCGAATATCCGGCGATGTACTACCAGGTCTAGATTCATTAAGGCGTTGCATTTTATTCATGTCACCTTCTTCACTTGAAACAGTTCCGCTGTCTTTTAAATCTAAAGTAAATGGTAAACAATTTCAAGTTTTTGGTAAAAATAGTCTAAATTAACATATATAAACCTATAGTATACCCTCACAAAACTAGTTGAAAACTTATTTGCACACCAAATATAACGTTTTGAAATATATCTCCTTATATAACTGAGCGTTTAAGTGATATCTTTCTCCGATAATTACTAAAAAATTATAGATTCTGGTCAGAGTCAGGGACCGGGTCGCGTATAATTTTATACTAGCATAAAAAACGCAGGCAGCATAAATATACAAAGTATAAACGCAAACGCAACATATCCATCGCTGTTCGCTATGTATGAAGCATGCGAATACATGTTCGTGTGTGCATGTGACCGTGTATAAATATCTTGTATTATCCTATATGCGACCCGGTCCCTGGTCAGAGTAGTAGAATAAAAATGAACTGTTTTGGAATTAACCCTATATGACTATTTTCCATGCATATATTTTTCTCCCCCTCACTTTTGATGAGCAAAAAAAATCTTCACTTTGAAAATCAATCCCTCCAAAATTATTGTAAAATGTTAAAACAAACAATAATTGCTTTAAAATACTTAATAAACAAAAAAAAAAGATATTTTATTAATTTGAATATGGAGATCAATCTTCGTTGGTTTTCAAAGAGCAGATAACCTGAGATTTAACTATAATTTCAAATGATACTCACCGTTTCTGCTTTTTCCGTCTTGTTCATTTTCGTCATCATCGTCGTCATCATCATCATCGTCTACCACGTTGGCGTCATCATCGTCGACCCGATTCTTTGGCTCCCATGTCATTTTATTTTCTTTCTTTAACCGTCGGCGAGCATTTGCAAACCAAGTAGAAACTTGGGTAAGGGTCATCTTTGTTATAATCGCCAGCATAATTTTTTCACCTTTGGTGGGATATGGATTTTTTTTATGTTCACTTAGCCATGCTTTAAGTACGCTGGTTGTTTCACGGGTGGCATTTTTCCGGCGTGCTCCATTCAATTCCATTCCATATCTATTAAGAACACAAATTATTACAAATTTTGAAAAAATATTATAAATTTAATTGTATATTGTTTGACACTCCAATTATTCGAATTAAAAAATGAATTCACATTTCTGAACTAATAAAAATGTGTAATAAATATAACTGCTAACTATGAAACAAAATCTCGAATAACAAGAAAACAGTTGTTACGATGTTTAGCTGGATGTTTCGATGACATAAAATCGCTGTTTTTTATTCAGTTTACCTCAGTGTACAATTGAATTGAAAAATGTCAAAGCAGATGTATGGAATGAACGGATAAACATTTAATTTTACCACAATTTGCCTGTGCTGCACAAAACTATGGAATAGTATACGATTTTTTATCACTCGGATTTTTCCAAACACAAATCATAAATGAAATCTCGTGTCTTGTTTTTTTTTTCAGTTCAGAATGCTTTTCATTGTTTTAATCTCATTGAAATAGTATTTTTTAATTTTTTTTATTAAATTCGACATGATTTCATATAAGGAACGAAATATAAAATTGCGTTGAAAAGATAAAATGTTCTGTTGTAAGTTTTTCTATCTCTACATCTTTATATAATCAATATGATTGAATCAGTACATTTCGTACAGTACATCATCATTATAGGAAATATATTTAATAAACGGTCCAGCAATACAAGAATTTCTGAATGATGCAATTTGATGACGAATCCGTAGAAATGTGAAGGAGAGAAGGTATAAATTGTAAAACACGTATACAAACTTAAGCGCATTATTCAATGTCCTGGGGATATCTTCGAATGATTGCTTGATTTTAATTAGAATTATCTTACATACATTTCATATAAATTAAACACATAAAAGGTATAATCTTCCAACAATGAAATGAATTTAGTTTCGTGCGAAGCTATACACTTTTATTTTGACGATTTCTAATGATAGTATTTTGCTAAAAAAATTGTTGCAGAATTCGTTTTTTAAACGAACTTGCCCACATTTTTTATTTACAAGCATTTATATGTTGTCGATAAAAATCTCGATTCAAACTGAAAGGTTGGTTGATTTTATTTGTTATACGTTTATAAACATACGGCGTCGCATTATAACATTGTTGTGTGAATGGAAGGAAATATCGGCGAAGAAATACATAAAATTAAAATTCGTGTCATGATGATAACAGCAAAATGCGTTTTAAAATAAGAAAGCTAAATCATTTATTACTTTAAAAGTTCAAGCGTTGATAAGCCTATGCTGAATGGTTATGCTTATATATAGATATATTATTTTTTGGTGTTTCATTTTCATTTTAACCACTTTTCTTTTGATTAAATCTTCTTCGATTTCTTGTTTTCTGCTTTGGTGTGTGTTATCGATATTGTTGCCATAGTACACACAAAGCAAATTAGCGCAGTAACCAAAAACTAATGTGACAATACATTGGAATTTATTATTGATGTGTTTTTTCTTGCAAATGAACTCGATCCATCAGAATGACACTGCTCTTTATTCAATCAATAGTCATAAAATGCCGTCTCATTGATTTTATTTACATATGTAAAACTGTAATAAAATTCAGTATAACGAAGTTTTGATTCATTATTTTTTTCCTTTCGAATGAGGATTTTCATAGTCCTTCGATATATTTTAACAATTTTGGACATTATAAATTTACAATATAAAAGTGCACCCATTAAAACGTGTGGCGTATGAGTTAATAGTTTATAATAAATTTTTCTCTCAAAATAAATAAAGGTGCACATATTATTTTGCAAAGAATTTTGATAGTGCCACATGCAATCGATTATAACGTTTTTCCTTCTTACACCTAGAACAAATAATTTGAACAACCAAGAATGTTATCAATAGTCACATCGTCATCGAGTCATACCAGTTTAATGGTAACATGCAATTGTAAACATTGATTGTAATTGGAAATAAATATCTACTCCAAATGTGAAAGGCAGCGTATTGTTCTTCTAAAATGAAAATGAAATTTATTCGTATCATTTTTAAAATGTACAACGCACTCTTTTTCATATCATGAATTTGCATTAGTCAGTAACATTCATATGCCCACTTTTCCATTGTGAATGAGTTATAATTAATATGCCATGCGTACTTTGATTCTATCGAAAATTTGTGCGAGTAATAGAGAACAAAAAGAGTTGAAATGTTAATTAAAAGACATGCATATATTATACTCGAACTGATAACATACGAAGGCACGTGACAATTACATGGATGTCGTCCAGTTGATTCATAAAAAAATGCTAATTTTATTCATTTATTATTTATCGCTTTTTTCCTTTTTATTTCCATTTTTGTGTTTGGTTAAATGCTTATGTTTTTATTTATAACTAGACAATTTTTAAATGATTTTCATTTTAGAAATTAAGTCGTCTTTTTTAGTCGATCAAAAAGTTCATAATGCAATGATTATCACAATAATTATTCTTTTATTAAGTTGGGTGTTGAAAACCATTCCACGTTTTTCTATTATTGTATATCGAAATAGTACAGCGAATAACTTTTTCTGAATTATGTATTTTTCAGAGCAGTTCTTAAAATCAACAAAAATAAGAGAGTATAACAGTATAATCATATGAGTAGATAAGCATTTTTCTGATATAGAATAATATTAAATAATAATTGATGGTCTAGTATTTATCGAAACATTTTGAAAATCAAAACAAAGATCACACGTTTACGACCATACTTGTCAGAAATGCTGTAAGAAAGAAAATATATCACCCAGACAAAATATATTAATGTATCGATGTAAATCTCCTACTCCGACGGGATAAAACCAAAATGTATGATTTAAATTACTTTTATACATATGAGTGTATATATTTGGTACAAAACCTATATACCTATAATAAATTAAGTGATGTTTCAATAGTATCGTTATAACAACGTATTAATAAGACATAGTATTGAACGCGCATCACATTGCCTTACACCTTCATTTCTCATATCAATTTCTAAGTAAAGTTAAACTTTTTATGCTCTACATTATAGAGAAGTTGATTTACACTAATAAAATTTGACGTTACTATGAAATACTTCGTATATACATTTTGAAATCAAGTGTTTCGATAGAAAAAATGAGATATTAATGCGGTGTTCTTTAAAAACTGAGACTACAGAAGAAAGACACATACAAGGACATTAATTTGTATTAAAATTTACTTTATTTGCACTATTCTTCATTTTGCATTTGTTCTTCCAATTCATTTTGAATACGTTTGATCCAATAAGAAAATAAATAAAACTTACCCATTAAATGCGTATGGTCCTAAAGATGGATCATAGGGATATGGATATGGATAAGCCCAGGGTGCACCAGTCGCCAAATTTTCTTTCAACTCCAATCCAGTCTGTAATTAGAAATGAAATTATTCATTTTACTATTAAAACATATTTACTTTTTCATACAATATGAAAAATAATTTTTTAAAGGAAAAAATGAGTGTTTTGCATATCGTACTCCGTACAGATGGTCAAAAGCAATACGACGAAAACAAACATTATCATGCGCATGTGTCTCTTTATTTTGTTATGACCTATTGACAAGCCCTTCATAATTCTGAAGTAAATATTAAAATCTTCATAATATTTATATGTACAAGAACTTGATAATAAGTTAATACGAAAATTCTAGTATCCAGAATTTGTATTCTAGACTATGTAACCTTTTTGTGAAATTCAAACGCTTTTACAGATTTTCAATTGTAACTTTACGAAATTGGAGATTGAATATAACACTGCGCATTTTTTTTATTAAACATTTTGTTTTGGAAGTGTGCAAGATTTTTTTACATTTATACAAAATATATTTTCAAATGTAGAAATTAGACGTTATATAAGAGACGTGTTTTATGAGAGATTCGTTACATTTTAAATGTAAAGGCAATGCAAACATTTGCTTATTGTTCGGAAACTCTGTCTGAGTGCTTGTGATTTCATTTTTTTATTCGTATCCGACGAATATATTCTCGCAATCTTTTTACTTTGGGATCTATTGACAAATATAGTTGAACTTTGTACAGTTTTCACCAGCATTATTATTATTTGACCATTGATATATGTAATTCTTAATTCATTTCATAAATGAAAAAGTAGAAATCAAAATTAAAATTAGAATAACTGAGATATTTCAATATCGAGGCGAACGTAACTTACTTGAATGACATATTTAAATATCATTTTTTGTTTCAATCTATTTGGTAAATTGTGCAAATAAGTTAATAATTCTAAACAGTTTAGCTCTCGGGACATTTTGATTATCAGATTTCCCTTTATGATGAAAGTATTAAGTTTGTTATCAATAAAAAAAATGCCTGCACACACAAAAATATTAAAAAATAAAACGAAGAGTATGCTTTTATATGTAAAATACTCATGTAGTACAAAAAATAGAAAAATAATCAAAAAGATCGAGTTCAAATGTCATAATTAATTCACACATTCCAACAAGAATAATTAGTATTAACATGTAATCGTGAAATGATATTTGAGAAAGCTAATTTTAAAATGTAAATATAAAATACTGTAAGAACTGTGCATCAAACCAGTTTTCAGATAACCAGCAAAATGAAGCAAACGGTTTTTTTTTGTTCAAATTAGCTGTTTTACAATTGTTCTGATTGGAGTTTTTTTTTTTTAATTCAATTTGAAAATGATGTCATTTGTGCTTTTGTTATTTTTTCATTTAAATTTTAACTATAAATTAATGTAATAATATTTTTGAAACAAAACGTATAATGAACTTTTTAATAGATGTTATTTACGTAGAATGAAAATAATCTTAATCGATTTGCTGCTTTTGAACAATTTTGCTCACTTCAAAAATCAATGCGTTCCAAACAGTCAAATCAAATATACATGAAATGAACTACACTTAATTCCAAAAAAGGTTATCGGCAAGTGTATTATTATATTTTTCAGCATTTGATTGAACAATTTTGAACATTTTCATAGAGATGCCGAAATGAACAGGGTTTCAAAGTATAAACAAAATAAAGTTTATTTTTGCAACTGTTCATGAGTACGTACTTAATTTAACTTGTTTTTATAAAAACAAATGCGTAATGCCCCAGAGAGGTTTTATCACAAAAAGCCTCACAATTAATATAAAATACAAAATAAACAACGAAAAGAACACACCTTCTTTTGGAATTTTTGTTCTAGAATGAAATCTGTGCATTTTATCCATGTGGCTTTTACAACATTTCATATTTTTCACAAAGATCTAAAAGCTAAAAACGAAATACATATTTTTTTCTCGTAGAGTTCAACTTATTGTCTTTGGCACTTACATTCAATTTCACTTTTTTGTTTTAAATAATTTTACTTATTGCTTTTGATATCAGTTCTAGTTATTCATATGAAAGAACGTACAATACTGATTCCGAGTAAACAATATAAGGTGAAATTGAGAGCAATAACTTATAGAATTTTTTTTATCACAAAAACACATCTTGAAAATATCGTATTTTTACATTTAATTTATATAAGATTTTTAAGAAATATCGTCGCAATGTAAGAAAATTAGTGCGGTCGACGTATTTTGTATGAGATGACACAAGGGCAGCAGCCACAAGTGTTGGCGAATCAATGTTGTTCAACCGTTTGGAACACCAAAATGGAACAGAGAAAATACTTCCACTGTGTTATGCTGTATTTAAATTACAACAAAATCAAAAATAATTTTTTAAATACCAAAAAAATGAATATTTTTTTTATTTTAATTCATAAAAATTATATAAAAGATACAAATCATTTCAAAATGAGAATTCACCGAAAATTCTAAGTAGTACCAAAATCATCAAATCAAACAACAGAAATCTGGCCTACGAATAAATAAAAATAATACGATAATTCAATCATATCAGCATGTTGGCAATATTCCATTTTTCATTCATAACGAAGCATATTGAGTAGTGTGTGAGTAAAAATAAAACATTTGACCAGTCACATGGAAGTTTACTCCTCCGCTAGGGGCGGTATTCGTAGATAGCAAAAAGTCAAAAAGATATAAATGTGATAAAAATGAACAGAGTATAGAGTATAAGATATTTTCCTACTTGGCTCACATATACGTACGTACGTACTTGAGCAAGTAATATGACAATTTATTTATATGCTACACACTATACCATCAATGAATGGTTTTTCTTGCTTCTGAGTTTATGTGACACTGTCTGCGCATTTATGTTTTTGGAGTATACCTGCTATTGGAAGTATGGTAACAATTAACAAGCAACGACCATTGATATGTGGTGCTATTTTGCTGTACATTTTTATGCAATTATACTAGTGGCTTTGTACTGGTTATGTAGATTGAATTTGTTTCGCATGCCAGAATGTTATGCTTTCGTGTTATTTTGGTTTGTGTTTAACATGTACGTACAGCTTTGTACGTACGTAGAATTTGATTAAAATTAAACACTTGTATAATGTATATACTATTTCAATTTTTCCGTTCCATTTTTTCTATTCATTTTATTCTTTTCTAACGCGGAGAGTATGCGCATTGAAAATACAAAAAAAAAAAAACTTTTTAAAACCAAGTCTCAACTTACGTAGTGAAATTGCTCTGGTCCAACTCCGGGCATGTAAGCTGCAGCTGGAAGACCCTCGGCATATGCAGCTGAATTATACATCGATAGAGGCATACCACCAGGTCCCATTAAACTTGCTTGGGCAATTCGCTGGTAATTCAACATTTGTTCATGTTGGCATGAGCAAATGGTTTGTCCAGTTGTGGGATCTGTGAACAACGGTCTTCCAGAATCGCAGCAGCGATTTGTTGGTGGTGGCCCTGAAGCGGCTGTTAGTGAAAAAAATATTTGAAGCGTTATGGATCGAAAATGTTCCTTTCTTCTATCGTTAAACTAAATATGATAATTATCAATATGTGTAAAATGATTCACACTTCGATTTACTTTATGAGAAATATCAAAATACAAATTCAAAAGAATGCAATTCTGTTACCTGAACACGGTGATGAACTTCGAGCGCCAGGAGGAATAGTTGTAGTTACTGCCATTGCTACAGAAACAGGTGGTGATGGTGGTGTTGAGGATACGGTATTCTATAAGAAAATCAAAAGAAGTTTGATCAATCAAAACACGGTCTATTGTTTTTCGATTATAAACATTTTAAGCAAATAATTGATCGAAAACTTGGGCATTTCAACTAAAAAAAATACTGAATAACAACACTGTAAAGAAATCTATTTTATCTCGCTTGGACATTCAACTTATTCAACTCTATTAAAAACTATGAGTCCGTGACAAATACAGACAAAACTTTCTTCAAAATATCCAAAACGTGAGTGTAAAGAGAGTAGTTTTTGTTCTTTATAATTTTTCAGTGTATCAATTTAACTGAATAAAACACATATCAAAGAAATAGTATTTGAAGCAGGGTTATAGTTATCAATAAATATATTTTATGCAAGTCGGAACTTTTGCACTTTTACCGGCATTCACATCAATGAGTTAAATTAAGCTTTCAGTTCAAAAAAAAAATTACCATAATATTTCATCCGTTTCAGAAAAACATTTTCTCTTTCAATAGCTTTCAATATATGGTCGACGTTTTAAGTATTTAAGACAAATTTTGGCCAATACACTTGAACTGACTTTTTATGCACTTTTTTGTTTTGTTTTTTTTTTTTTTCACTAACCTTTTTAACTTAAATTTATTTTTTATATAAATCTTTTTTTTAATACTTTTCCATTGAATGATTCTCAACAATAAATTGAATATTTTGTTTTAAAAATAAATTCACTTTTATCTATGACACTTTCGTCGCAGAAAAATTAAATTTTTTCGTTTGAAAGTTGTGTTAAACCGTCGATAAAAGTTAAAATTTTCGAAACAATAAAAAAATCGCGACATAAATACGTTCGACATATAATATTCGGTCGGAGTCGTTTCACTGCAGAAAAGTTGTCTTTAATTTTGTTACACAGCACAGAAAAACACAAAAACACGAACAGCGACGGTAACGACCAAAATCAAACTGAACGTCTCACAAAATGTTTTCGTGTTTCTTTTCCCTGTTCTCTATTAGAAGTCATAATAGACTATACAGAATTGTGCACACAAACACGAAGCAACGTCGAATCAGTGTTGTTGAATCAGTAAACGCAAAAGCAGTCAATTTAGAATCAGTCAACCGCCATACGATGAGAATACATAACAACTACATATACATACAATGTGTATGAGATTCTGAGCGTGTAAGTGTATATGTATTTGTATTATATTGTCAACGTCTACGTTTACGAGCAGTACACGCCATGTACGGTGGTTGCAGCTACGGTGATTTTGTTGCTGTTTTCATCGTTATTGTTGTTTGGTTTGTTGGCAGATAGCGAATGAAAAAGAATCTTTAAGGCAGGAAAATTATTGGGGACCTTCAGGCAATTGCCGTAGTGATTTGGCTTGAACTCTTAGAATTTTGAGAATTCCATTACAAAGACACTTCAAATAAATCGTTTCATCAAATAATTTTCCTTAGAAAAAACAGTGAATATAAGAGTTCATTCAGAAAATGCTAACATTTGTTTTATATGTCTTTTACTATTTTGTGAAATATAAAGACCGTTGATGATTTCATAGTAACAGTAACGATATACCACTAGTCATCAAGAGAAATCCACACACTACTGCGGTTATGCTTTAGTTGGAGTACACATGAAATATAAACAGTCACACACAATGACAATCAAAATAAAATAGCAGCCAACCCTCCTCTAATTTGTTTTTCATCGCAACCTGGCATATTTTCAGAATAATATGCTATTGGTGCGTACATAGCACAAAATATGTACACAAAATATATACGTAGTATTGGATTAGTCATTTTATGCTCATTGTGTACCAGCGCACACTTCCATGCATTTAAACTGTGCACTTATTTATTTTTCGGAGCGCTCTCAATTACCGTCGTCTATTCTATTGTTGATTTCTGTGGATGCACACATAGTCAGGGATCATCATCATTACCATAAAAACAGACAAAACCAATTCAAGTATGTTATTCGGGGTGAAATGGTTTTCTGCGCGCCATTTTTTATCAAAAAAATAACACCACCATAGTCATTGATGATTATTGAAATAAGACAAAATATTTTGTTTCTATTGATAATGTATTTGGATTTGTTTGGCCCTTGCACCATTTTGATATATTAAATAATAATTCTTCATATTTAGGCAGACACAATCTAAAATAATGTTGCTTCAAATGTGTTACAATTAAATCACATGGATGTGACGGCTAGCTAATACTTTGTTTGCGATGATTAGCAATGGGTGCGTTTCGATTGAATTAAATTGCATACGAATTCGTTCAATTTATGGCTTATATTGTTTATTTATTACAAATGTGTAAATATATTATACAGTTGCTGCTGTGCTATTGTTCTTTTTATATCATTATCAAAAGAATGCGCGCTATTTTTATTACTCTGTAGTTGCATTGGCGCTTCAATGAATCGTGTTCACTTATTCATTCTCTATAGCTGAATGTGTTCTTTTTTCTCTCCTCTCTTTCAAATGAAGAGCGCATAAATATTTCACTTCATATGAAGCCAATTTCAAAGCTATTTTGGCTTCAATCGTTCGTAAATACACAACATGCATTTCAAGCTAAAGCAAATTTAAATAAAAGAATGGTGGAAAGAAAAGCGGGGAACGTCAAAGCAAGTTTATTGTGGTAAACAAGGCGCGTATGAAAACGAGTAATAACTTTTACCTGACTACACAACCAAGCACATATTGCATATATATAAAATATATGATGCTTTCCATCTCTCTTGTCTTGATTTGAAGGCAGTTTTTCCACTGTACAATTGTACTTTCGACTGCCATTTATAATTTCAGCACATACATTAAATGGAAATAAAAAAGAACAGCTATTCACATCAACAATGAAGCGACATTATTAACACAAACGAAGAACTACATATATAAACAAATTCTTTTTTGGGTTTAATTTAAGGAGCAAATAAGCGCGAACTGTCCGTTGTGAAAATAGTTTTGTTTGTAATCATGTATACACGCACCTAGGCAACGCCGTACTTCTTCTGTTGTGCCTCTTTTAATTCGATCTTGTCGTTTGTTTGAGGCGTGGTTTCTATAACTTCTCATGCGAATCATCCGGCTTAGTTTAATTAAGTTTGGTTTAGTTTTTTTCACCTCGCCCTCCCCCTTTGTATCTTCCTTACTATCTTTCGCTTCTTTATTCGAATGAAATTTATTTATAACATTTACAATACAAATCCATATTGAATATGGGTGAACTATCTCATACTGATTCTCCTGTTGCAGTTATTGTTGATATAATTCTTTTTTAGTTCGCCATTTCATTCACTCACATAGTGTGACGCATTTAGCTTACGAATGTTTACAAGCCGAACATTATAGCCTTTAACGTGTTTTATTTATTTTAACAACTAGATACTAAACGTTTTCTGTGCATTGTTGTATTTAAATTTATTTATTCAAATCTGCTGTGCAGTTGTTTTGAGTAACTCTAGTCATCGAATTAAATACGATACAAAAAATGAAATGACTAATAACGAAATTAAAGAAAAATTAATCTCATACTATGTACATCAACTTGTAGTCAGTCGTTTCGCTGTTTAGCTGTTTAAACACTTTTTGTTTAATTCTGTATTCTGTTTTGATTTCGATGAACAGATTTGTTAAATAATCTTAATTAAATAATGTGAGAAAAGTGATATTAATAATAATGGATTCAGCTGTTTATTTTCGAATGGACGCGACGAATTTCAATTACAATCGAAAAACAATTTATCGACGATAACATGAATGTACAGGGTGTCTTCAATTGTTTGTTTTTTATCACTTTTATGACATATTTTTCAATGAAATTTAAAAAAATATACCCGTTTATCCAAAATGCTCACATGCAATTATTAGCTTGAAGAGACACCGTCAAAGATTTTCCAAAATAAAACCAGATCTTATTAAACCGCTTGTGTACATGTGTGATGCATTTTTTTTTATTCAGAGCATGATTCAATTAAATCTTTTGTACACGTCTTTTGTGCTCTTTTTATACGACCCAAGCGCGACTTGTAAATATCACAATCGTTACTATGCCGTCTGATGTGGATTATTTCATAACATACATATTTTCTCTTTTATTCCTTTTCACGATTTAATCGTCTATTTGAGTTTTTGATTTAATTAACGATTTCGATGTAAAACATTTATTTCATGGCAAATGAATCAAAATAAACTTTTCTTTCTTATGTTTATTCTTGGGACATTCATTTAAGCGATAGCAAAAGGCTAAACTTATCAAATTGAAAATGGATAAGAAAACATGAGAAAAGGCGAAATAGAGATATATTCAGTTGAAAAAGTGAACAAATGGTGTAAGAATAGCTGCAACGAATATACAAAAAGTTAAGAGAAACACAATATTGAATGGCGTGAATAAAAAATAATAATAATTTCTATAACTCCTCGTCAAAAGCATGTCAAACACTAATCGGATTATGAGCGAATTTGAATGGAAACCGAATAATGTCAATGAAAAATAACAATAACATTTATAAATGAAAACGTTTCGAAGCAAATTGAAAAAAGGTCACAGCGTGTACATTCATGACAAAAAATGCACAAACTGTCATAGACACGATGCCAGTTTGTCGTCACGTTACTGTCTATTTATCACAAAAAAAAAATATCGACAAATAATCAAAAGGACATAGCAAACGATCTACGCACTATTGGCATATAATTATAAATTCCATTTCAGTTTTGCAATATCAAAGAAATTGCCATATGTGATAATCATGCATTTTAATATCAAAACTTCAATATTTAATTTTGTGGACAAACTAAACCATAAATTCATGAAATGAAAACAATGCTTAAGAAAAATAGTAGCTACCAAATGGTGTTTTCAACGGACATATTTTCCACATCCGAGTCCGACCGATACTGAGTAGTTTATTTCCAAAGCCGATCGACAACGACAGCTGTCGATTGAAAATTAGTCAGAAGTCGGTCGGTTGTCGGTCCGACATTCGAACGCAACTAAACATA